ACAGAACTACATGTCATCTTCAAGGTCAAAGGATCGACTGGTCTCGAACTTGGTTCGGAAGGCTGTGAGGGAAGCAGTCTCGTTGAGTTCCTTCATGCTGCGGACACCGCGGAACTGGCGTTGAGCTTGTTGGGACACAGAAAGACGGGGAGCTCTGCGATTTCGGCCACCATGGTGGTTGTGCGACACGGGGGCGGGGTGCGCTGGGTGGGCGTTGTAATGGTAGTATGCAGACATGATGTGAGTCGCGGTTGTGCGTGCGTGCGTGCCGGAGTTGGTGCGGGATTAATTGGAGCGAGTAAACACAAACAAGAAATTGAAAGTGTTTTGAGAGAGTCGTCGATTTAGGTAGTCGTGGTAGACAGGATCCAAAAAGTCGAAAAATAGTTACTGGAGAAGTGTAGTAGCGGTTTAGTTGTAGGGGAGAGTAGGGTGAGGTTGTTGGTTGATGTAGATTTTTGGGTGACGGATGAAGAGAGTTGAATTGTGGGAGAATGGATAGCGAAGCGAGGCGAGGTACGAGGGGAGGGGCGGAATGGGAGTGGGAAGGTAGGTGACGGGCTCTGATAAGTAAAATAAATGGAAAATGGAAAGTGGACAGGCAGATGCAGGACGCAGGATACCTTACACCGGGGACGGCGGGCGATGTGAGTCTGTTGGTTGGGGACACTGTGAACACTGTGAGCCCGCTAGTATCCACAATACCCATACTTTACTCCACATGAAGCGCCTGCCGAACCAGGAGATGAGGGTGGGACCCGATTCTGGCAAATCACGCCTTGCAGACGGTGGCCAGGAAGTCTTTGCCACTTTGTTATGATTGGCGTAGTGAAGGGATAGCGTGTGCCACAGTGTAATCTTGGTGGCATGCTGCTAGGCCATCCCTGTCTATCCGGGTAGGGATGTTTGAAGACAGCACAGTTTCCAAAAGAGAGACATACACAGTACGACCAGCGTGTTCCAAGAGCTAGACAGCACACCAATCTGCTAAGGGGCTGAGTTCATACTACTTGTCCTATTCTAGGTTCACCTGCACACCTGGCGGTATCCGAAACTCAGCGCCTACCCAGCCTGGGTGGAGGCTATCGCATTCACACACGACCCAAGCCCAGTGTCAAATCGCTGTCGGCCCTCTCGGGGTTCCCCATTCCAGCCTTTGTCAAGTGACTTTTCGCTCTCTCAGCTTTGTCCCTGCTGGACCTGGCGCTGGTCCCAAACTTGGATCGTGAGAGAGGCCCTGGAGCCCTGCTAGTTTAGCGTCTGTTCGTTCTTCTTTTCTTTCGTTCTGTCTGTCAGGCTCAGGCTTGGGGACCAGGGGTGCGCATTGCTCATCAGGTGAGTGACGAAGTGACGGAATCTCTCTACCCACTGCGCACACATTACTTTACCGCACAGTGAGGAGCTCAGAGGAACGCAGACGCACGCAGTCTCAGTCTCGGTCTCAGGCACCATCTTGACCGCGTGCTCTCCCACTCTGCCACTGCAATTCCCCTGTGCTAGCGCAGGAAAACCCCTTTCTGTCCGTCCCCTTCAGGGCTCTCGCAGCCGTAATTAGGCGCTATGCCCTGCTGCAGCATGCTAATATGACCAATTGATTGGATTGCGCGCCAGTTTGTTTTGTTGACATGCTGAAATTGTTATTATCCACCGCTTTCGTGATGATGAAATGAAGGAAGGAAAGGGAATTGCGTTTCTCGTCTGCGACGCTGGATGCCCCGCAGCCCTTTCATTACCACGGCGTACATGTCTGATCTGGTGTATTGGGGTGGTCGAGGCATTGTATCATCAGATACTGGATTTCTATTTGCCTAACGGGTATACGTCCTCCAGGACCAGGTGAAGTGAGGTGCAGTCAAGTTCAAGTGCGTGCAGTGCCGAAGAGGCCCCAGTCACCAAACGGGCAGTCCAATCGACCATGACCATTGCGGGACGGGAAGGGAAGAGCAGGGTAGGGCTTCGAGGCTGGTGAGCGAACGACTGAGCGAACGTTCGGGGGACAGCGATGAACTCTGATGGGTTGACCAGCTTGGTTCAGGTGGGTTGGCGGGATGGCGGTGATGGACGGTACCTTGCGAGGCAGTGAGCACTAAGCTCAAAGTTCTATCATGGCACTGTGCATGACCATGTATGGAGCCATTACTGACCACCAGTGCAGAATGAGGGAGGGTTGGTGAGGCCTATGACTGGGCGGCCTCGAGACCCTTCCATGACCCTGTTCCCAATGGTTCTGGACATGGATACGTTGGAAACGTGGCGGGCTGGCCTGCATCTTCACTGAACAAAGAGTTTTTGCACTGTGCCATTCTGTCATGGCCCCTCCCGTCTGCAGATCGCACGTATCCCTTTCTCGTCTGTTGTTTTGTTGTTGTGTGTTGCGTCCTGGACAGCCGCCGAATGAGAAGCTGTTGATAATCGACACTGTTTCCCCAATGGTCGAACCACTACCAAAACAGTCTCAAGGGTTATCCGGTACTAAGCATCGCCACGAGAGGCAAAATGAACGAGAACAAGGTCACCACCATTGTCTCTGGCTTCTGGAAGGCCTCTGACGTGCGTGACGCTGATCTGGATTATTCTCGACTTTAGGGTAGTGTCTTGAGACGCAACAGAGCCCAGACCCAGATCATCTTCAACACCAACCTCGTGTGAAATGAGAGGTTGACAAGTCCAGTTGTGGTAACCTTCAAAACACTGTGGCGTTTGTGCTTGACCTTGAAAGGTAAACTCACCCACACACAACACAGCACAACACAACCGCTGCCCCCCTAGGCCCCAAACCCCAACCCACGACTTTTGTCTGCACCTAGTGCACTGTATGTACGGTTAACTCGCCCTGTCCGAAGACTGTACTTGGCCAGACACTCCACGCAACCCTCACGCAGGAACTCTTTGTCGGCCACTGCGGTTGCAGCACCTTTGCGAGCGTCTAAATTGAGATGTAGACAACAAAGACCGTTGATAACTGTGGGTATCTTGTTAACGGCGATTTTGTGCATCGCGTGTTACAGAATCTGAACCGGTAGACACAGCATGATGGTTGACAAGATCGTCGTGAACGTGAGCATTGACGATAAGCAAGCCTGGGCATAGCAAGTGACGATGGCGGCAAAACATGCAAACCAGTCGGGTTGGTTAATTCGACGTTTGGTTATGCATATTGCCTATCGTTTCGTCATTGCTAGAGGTCGTCTTGCCGCCAGCCTCATCTTATCTTACCAGACGGATTCTCATCCTATTCCGTATATGCAGAGAGACCCTCGATCCTAGTATGCAGCACACCATTTCATTGCCGATGGAAGGTTGCTGGATGAAAGATTGATTATCTTTGGTCCTTGATAAGTACCAGTAATAACTGCCACTGTCACTGCCACTGACTCTGGCGCAATCCAACCTCTCGATCTCGGTTAGATCGTCGTTGGACTTGATCAAAGCTGGCACCCTGCCGCTACGACCGTGCCACGCCCTTCCGCACCGTCCAAGTGTTTCATCAGGCTCTTCTGAGAATCCCTCCAGGGCTCTCTTCTCTTGTGTCATTTGCCAGACCACCATGCGGGGGAATGGGCTGGTCTATTTCGAGCGGGCTGTGAAGGCCTGCTAGCTTGCTAGCGGAGGTCTAAACCTGCTCTTGTTCGTCTTCCTCATTTTCGGTTGGGAGGGAGCGGGAGGGATGTGATGTGATGCGATGTGATGCTTGGTATCTAGGCTTCGCCTACGCCGATCGCTTCAACGGACGTACAATATGGGTGGGTGGTCCCTTCATCAAATCCCTGTTCCTGGAGAAAGGGTCCAAGTCCCATCCCGAAAAGAATTCGAGGCACTCGACCGAATGCGTGATGCTTTGCAGCTTCGAGCCTCCTAGCGCAAAGTCTACGGTAATTCTAGACGAGTCACAGCAAACGGAGCAGTAAACAACCGCAAAGTTAAAATTGACAGTCCAAACTCTTTGTGGCGGGGGGAGATTGGCTGAACCATAGGTAGCATACCCTGAAGGGTCTTGGAGACAGAAGACGATGTCGCATCTGTGCCCTGGCAGAATCCTTGCACAGTATGAATCCATCTATACGCAGATTATCGGCATTCATCAGAGTCACCTTTCACTGAATCAAGTGAATCAATAGATTCAGAGAGAATAATAGACATTACGACGTAAAGGGAAAAGTCAACAAATACTACATTTCTCAAGAGCATTGTTAGAAGCCGCTTGTCTCTCCCTAACTACCTAGCTCTCCTCTCCGTCTGCCCACATTGACGCAATCAGCCATCCGTCTAAGTTATCCCTAGTCGCACGACCCATTCCTCGGGCTAACAATCTCAACAATCGATAATTGCCCGCATGCATCTAATCATTCAATTAATTGATGGCCAACATGTCTGTCTATCACGGGTTGTCAACCCCTTCGATATCATAAGACAAGGCGATTATCTGATGCATACGACGTGCCATATGCTATGCTATAGCCCATATTCCCATCGCCACACCGCTAGTTCTCACAGACGATGAATGGCCTGTTTCTATCTCGTCGGCTAAGGCGCTTTTCTTCGGCGGGTGACTTGATGTCTCACTTTGCGGAGAAACAAAGGAACTCTCTTCTCTGAGAGTCCAAGCTCTCAGCCCAGACCGCGCCACCCCTTGCTTCAGATGCGAGTCACCCCGCGCGCCACACTTTGCGGAGAAACGGCGACGCCAGCCCCGGCTGAAAGCTTCAGCTCTGATTCGTCCTTTGCTTCAACCACAAAAGTTGACATTCCCAACCACGATATATAAACCATGGGCATATTAAAACAGAGCCGACATGCTTTTCATTGCAACTACTAAGTTGAGTATGTACTATTACTCATACTAAAGTCCAAACTGGTGTAAGCCAGCGGTCACTCGCTTCCAGCGGGCCCTTCATCAGGTGGCAGACCCGGGTTCGAATCCTGGGATTGGAATACAAATGTCTAAACAGATGTTCTTTTCTGGCTATATTTGCTCCCGGTATCGAGGGATATAGATGATTGCTAGAAACCAAGAATCCCTGAAGCATAAGGTAGGAATCTGATTGGATCCTGCATTCTCCTCCAGGTATGGTCGTATGTGCTTGGGGTCTTCACTCGGACGGTAGATGATGATAGGATGTTATTTTATGACCAAGACTGAAGCCTGTTGAGTGAATGAACCGCAGGAAAACTCTGGGTATCGTCGTCATAAACATCATACCATAAGAAGCAACCACTAATCAAGGTTTACACAATTCTGGTTGAACTTTATCTTGGGTCCAAGACTACGAGATAAAGAACCTAAAAGAAGAGACTGCCTTCGTTGGGACACTGTGAATACCGGCTTTTATATTATGAGAATGTATACTGTGAGCCACGATGAGCCTCCCTCGAGCTTAAAGTAAACTCCACAGTAGAGACCGAAGCCATCATGACATGCACCCGTAGGTTCCCAATATTTATCTTCGACAAGACTTTTATTGACATCATTAACGGTCCACAGTATATCAGCTAATCAATTCCTGCCTCGCCATAACCTTAAATGCTGAAAATGAATCACTGGAGACATTACCATAGAAGATCAAGGGCATGTATATTCAGACCCTTCAGCCACAGCGCGCATCCCTGACAGGTAGCGTAGCTTGAACTGTATGGACGACTGCCGCCAACACGGTCAGGCTTTAGGCTGCGAACACGAAAAGTTCATGATATGTACTGCAATTCCTTTATGGCTTAGTTATTCAGAGACGGCCTATATACCTGTAGTGTTAGTTGCACTATAGACCCCAGGCATCTACGGTTAGCTCCTATAATACGACTTAGAATGCCCACCTATTTAAAGAAATCAGTTCCTATCATCAAGTCTACAACAAGACACGTGGATATAAACGTTTCTATTGAAGACAACCCAGGATATGCAGAACTGTGGGCATAGGAAGTAGTCCTTATGATACAAACTCATACCTTGAGTCCCAAGTGAGCATCACATTACCTGGGACCCTATTTGGCATCAGAACAATGAGAGGGTTTTGTAGTTGAGTATTGAATATTGACAGTAAACGAGAGCACTTAATACTCAATAAAGACTTGAATTCGAGTCTGCTAGCGAGGCATCTTTCATTGCACCTGTCCTTGAATTATGGTTCTGGTTTTTGATACGTTTCATACGAAGGCAACATGGTAATGTATTGCAACTCTAGCATTGTCATGGTTTCAACTCTCACTAGAAGCAGAGAATGGAATATGTTGCCATAGTAGCTCTTAACAAGCCCTGGTTATCATACTCTGGATTGATATTAAGTGAATATATATGCAGAAAGCAGAAAGAATATAGAGACAGCATGTATTTATGATTGTTTTAAGGTGAAGAGACAATCTCTTATGTATATAATCAAGCACTACATAGCCAGCCCTAGGCGAGCAGAGTATAAGGATCTGGAAAAAGCAATGGAATTAACGATTAAACAGACGCATAGTCTTCTAGAGGTGGACTATATTTAATTGTGTGTCATGCTTGATTCGTTTCAAAAGTCCCTCATCCGTGGCTCTTGCTATGAGTCACATCTGAGAATACGATCCGTTATTATGTACAATATGGAATCATTTCTATGGCCCCACGCACCTTGTTTCCGCAAGTTCACATTGAACTTTCTCGGATCGTGGGAATAAAAATTTCAAAGAAGCAGGACTTATAGTTGTCCTTCCGATCGCGGCTCAAGAATCAAGATCATCACTTTCGCCTATATGCAGGCACCTTAAATGACTTTGGAGTTCTATAGGGGATGACGGATTAGGCTAGCTGTTATCATCTTAAGAACGTATATATCGTGGAAGAACAATTCTGGTGTGCTCATTGATAGATTTGTTCTACATGGCAGTGAAGACATGGATTGATTGTGATTCTGCTGGCAGGTCTTTGATCGTAACGAGAGAGAAACTCATCGATTGCCGCTGCGATGTTTGATTATACGCCGATACGGACTTGATCTCAATAATAACGTAAACAGTCAGAATTACTACCACCCTAGATTCGATGACAGATACTGCATGGGACCTAATCCATATGAGTCTCGCTCCGAGGCTCGGGCCTAAGACACGGGAGCAGGGCGGGTTTAAATTGTCCGGACTTCCCGCCTCCACCACGAGTTGGACTTTTCTCTTGCCCAATGCATCAACCTACCGACTTACACAATCTAATCAGTCACATTAAAATGGATGTGATCAGTTTTGGACAGAGCCCTTCACTGGGATACATTCTGCTCATTGTCACTTCGGCCATATTGCCTATTCTTCTGCTCTTCATTCTCATCCGCAGACCTGTTGGCGGATCTGCATCCCAACCATTGCCTTTGCCAGCTGATGATGAAATAGTTCGCCTTCGAGTGTACCCGGTCAAATCATGCCGCGGTTTTGATGTCGAGTCAGCGCAGCTTTTACGGACCGGCCTAGACTTGGACCGTAATTGGATGTTTGTCACGGCCGATAAGCATGAATTCATCACGATCAGGGCAAATTCAAACATGACTCTCATCATAACAGCTTGGGACGCCGATACCGACACACTGACAATTTCTCTTAATGAGCACAAGATTGAGATTCCCGCTCACCCTACGACTCAATGGCTTGAGAACAACACTGAGCTCAGGAAGGCGACTATCTGGGGCGAGCAAACCGATGCATGGGAATACGCCGAGAGTCTGACCAAGCCCATCTCGGATTTTCTGAATATGGACGTTCGGCTGATGTACAAGGGCCCCACACCGCGAGTTCTACGTGGAAGCGGCGCTCCTCACCGTCTTGGTCGTACGGAGGCTACCAAGTTTGCCGATATGATGCCTGTGCTGGTAAGTTACATAAACTTGAACCTGACATATGACTCAGGCGTTGTATGTACTGATGCCAAACTTGACAGGTTGCCTCTATGGCGAGCATGAACGAATTAAATGAGCGTCTCACTCAAGCTGCCGAGGATAAGATTGAGATTGATCGGTTCCGCCCCAATGTCATTATCCGAGGAAGCGTACCCTGGGTTGAGGATGGATGGAAAACTCTCCAAATGGGTGAGGGCGAGCACCGTCTTGAGCTTGATGTTGTGTGCCGATGCCTACGATGTCAGGTACCCAATGTTCACCCGATTACTGCTGATAAACACCCGCGTCAGCCTTGGAACCAGCTGATGAAGTATCGACGAATCGACCCTGGACTCAAGTTCAAGCCGAGCTTTGGCATGCTTTGTGCACCAAACGATGAGGGACACATCGAGGTTGGCATGAAATTCCAGGTCACGGCTATGACGAATGATCACTTTTTCATTAGCCCAATGAAGTAAAATGAGTTGTTGGAAAGTGTTTGGGGGAGTTGCGTGGCTTCTGTGGTAGAGTAACATGTACAAACTGCTAAGGATAGCGAAAATGAAAATGATAACAAGACTGCCTTATGTTCAGGTAATGGTTCACATGTATTGTACGCTGTTCAAGTTCTGGGCACTCGAATAGGCACACTAGCTGACTGTACTGTGTTCACCTCTTTTGAGTGGCAGTGCTGGATCAGCCCAGCCAGGATAAGATCGAAAGCTTTCACAAGAGTCAGATCGGATTCTAGGGTTGAGCCTGTCATAATCAATTCGAGCATGCCTGGATCCATTATGTAAGTTTATAAGAGGTTGATTTGAGAATCTGGGATAAATTTCTGAAGGGAAGGCGATCGCCGGCCTTGATTTCAGCCCTGCCCTTCACCCTCCCTTTTCACACTTTGGCTTGCCTGGTAGTTCCCTTTTACTTGATAAGCCCAAACTCTTGAGTGGACTAATGGACTTTGATAGAGGCCTCCTGACTTTAAGGATGGTTCCATTTCCTGGATGTTTGTTCACAAATCAAGTGTATGGTTGTTGAACAATCACAACCCACCCACTTGACATATTAGCCGGAACACACCATCAACCATACACAGCCTTGCGAAGACACTAGTGCTATGCCTTGCTGGTGTCAAGTTAAGTAGCTAATGGATGAGATTTGTTGCTGAGCGAAGAATTTCAAACATGATTGCGTGGTTGCACCAGTCAGTCTCTTAGATCCGGCCAACTCAACAGACGTAAAAGGGACACTCATTTTCTTGTGTGATAGCAAGTCAAGTCAATGAGATAAGAAGATTATTAGAGACTGTTTAGACATGGCAGGTGCTGTATCAATATTTGTTTGAAGGGTAGAATGATTCCACCTAGACTTGGACCCTGTCGTGAGACGCTTTACTCACAACGGCATCCGTTTTGCTTTCTTTGATGCAGCTGCACAGCTTCTCGTGTAGCTAGAGCAAGCAAGGCCTCAGAACATACAGAAACAAACGTCACGTCTAGTTGGTCTTTTGGCCTTGCCACATGATGCCAGAATGTGGACAACGCTAGGTGGAGTGTTATGTCCCCATGCTCATGGGAAACGCAAACACCCTTATTGAGCTACAAGAATGATACTTTCAGATCGGTTGACGCTATGATTCAAGCGCATATTTGCCAAGTTATATTACCCAAAGTGTCGGGAATCACGGCTCGGGGAGTTCTAATTCCGTGTTAGTCGTCGTTGATACGAACAAAGAGTGGAAAAACTGTGGCTTGGTCATGGAGGCAATGAAACATGTCCAAAACAGCCCCTACCTACCTTATTCACAAGCCTGACTAGTTCACTGTTCCACTGCTAGTCACAAGGCTGTAACATTTGTGACTTTGTGTAACTGGGCATGCATGGAGGCTGATTCACTGACTGATTGGTGTGGCAATACCCATTGTGCTAGGCGCTTCGCGGGGCTTTTTAAGCGGCACGTTGGCCCAGCTTACCTTAGTTTACTGAGCCCAAGAGATCCAATGCACAGCCCACCAGCTTTCAAAGCTTCCTCCCAATCAATCAATCAGACATTACAACTCTTAAATCTCTCAACCTTCCCATCAGCTTTCACCACTATCGCGCATCGAAGCAGAAGTTTACCCGTCAGCAAATCTATTCACCATGTTGGGGGAAGATCTCGTCATTTATTATAATGACTCCATCGACTCAGATAACCTGGCCGCGGCTATGGCCTTGTACAGGGCCACACACTGGATGCCGACCGTCCACGTGCTTTGGATTCTAGAGCCCCGTCAAGTGTGTTTTGGACTATCCATGACTATGGATCAGATCACCAGATGCAAGGAATTGATAAAACTGCATTTTCCGTCCGTCGAGAACCCTTTCAAGACCCTTTTGAACGGAGATATCAAACAGCAGGATATTGATGATATCAAAGATCTGACCAAAGATGATCGCAAGATTGTAAGCTTCCTCCTCAGAATCTGATGCCCTAGACAAATCTGACCACGATGATAGCTCGAGATGGCAGTGAAGCCCAAGTATGGCTCAATCGACGACGCTACCTTGCATGGACGACTTGGTGCACTGGACCTGGCAACTTGTCTTTCCGAGTGGTCTAATGCTAACCCCGTCGAAGTTCTTGTGGACTACGAGACTCTGAAACATATCGAGAACCCAGTGAATCTGCACATGCATCACCATGAAGAACTTGTCAACCGGACTGAAGCTGAGCTGAATGAGTACTACGACATCCTGAAGAAAGTGTCGAATCCTGACCTTCGAACCGATGACCTGAGAGCTTGGTATCACGAGTGTATCAGGAATCTCGATCGTCGTGTTACGCTCTCACGCATTTCAGTGGGAGGACTCGACTTGGACAACGTTTTGAATCGGATCAAGAACGCGGGAAGCGTCAATTTCTTTGGGGGTTCTTCGTTAAGAATCCTACAACAGTTCCTCGATAGAGGTGTAGCCAGCAAGATCAAATGCCACTTGCAAGTGGTAAGTCTGATCCATGACCCATGTTACTCATTGACAAGATACTTATGGTGATAGGGTTCCTGCGACATGTCAGCCAATCTCTTCTCCAACCAGTTCAACATCGCCCTCAACCAACAAGCAGCTAAGATCGTTCTCAGCCGATCTGCAGAATTTGCGGAGTTCACCGTCGTGCCTTCACATACGGCGCAGAGCATAAAATACTCAGTCCTCGCTCTAAAGAAATATGGAGGCCACTGTATCGAGAAGCGAATTCTGGGCTTTAACTGCCATGAGGATCCCATCAAGATCGTCACAAATCAAGTTTCACTTGAGCAAAACTACCCTGAAAAAACCTACTCCATGCCGGACTTGACCTCGTTTTTGTGTGCACTTGTTCCAGACAAGACGGGCTCCAAGCTAGGGTATATCGAGGTCGATGAACAGGAGGGCGGTACACTTCTTTTCAAAAAGTCTGACAAGGGCATCCGTATGCTTGATCTGGACGGCGTTCAGGAGTTCCATGAGAAAAAGATGAAGGATATTTTCGACTTATTGTCAAGTCGCACAGTGATGATGCTGTGACCGAGACAACTTTTGATACCCAAAGGCGAGTTGGAAGTCAGATAGTACTTTTAATAGCTTCTTGATGCACAAGAGCATAATCTCAATTAATAGAGAGAAATACTAGACTTCTTGACAAGTCCGAGAGCATGATGAGTGAAGTTATCCAAGTTACCCCGGCTACAATGGACTGCCAGTATGACTTAACTTGTTTGGACTCTGACGGTAGTGAAAGTAACAGTATAAATAGGACACGTGCAGAGACCATCCCGAAATGCCAAATTGACCTAGATCTCATACTCAAGACCAATTTCCATTCAAGTCAATAAATTACCAGTTGAAGAACAGGCACTTCAAGAGCAAATTCTATTGGGTTAGTAGGTAGGTCGTTTATTAATATCGCCAATCAGCCACAAAGACGGGACCCTTCCGTGTGGCACCCTTGCCAGCCTTGCGGGCCCCCTCTCCAAGTAGGCTATTTCAACGAAACCTCAACAGCTTCGGCTGTCAAATCTGCCTCCTGAAAGTCTTCTCTTCCTGCGGAATTGGTACCCAACGGTCTATCCGAAGATATGTCAGCCAATTATTGGCACTCCACACAATGTCGCTTCTGGAGCTTCACCAAGGAGCAGCTCGTGACAATGCGACAGAAGCTTGAAGAGGACAATGCCGAATTGGTGCGAATGTTTCCGCTTCCGCAGCAACGCCATTTGTACATATATTTTAATCAACGTACGTGGACACCTATATACCACGAGAAAACTGACCGAATGGCTGACTCAAGGGACGCGCAGAACTGATACGGCTGGCGAAGCGATTAACGATCCGACAACAATCCATGGCCACGGCGCAGGTCTACATGAAGCGATTCTACTCCAAAGTCGAGATTCGTCGAACGAACCCATACCTCGTTATAGCGACCGCTATATACTTGGCCTGCAAAATAGAAGAGTCTCCTCAACACATTCGACTCATCGTGACAGAGGCGCGACAGATGTGGGGAGATCTCGTGGCCATCGACACGTCCAAGCTGGGCGAGTGTGAGTTCTTCATGATAAGCGAGATGCGATCACAGTTGATTGTATTCCAACCGTATCGAACGATCACAGCCTTGCGAAACGAACTATCGTTGGTGGACGACGAGGTGCAACTGGCTCGCTCGGTCATCAACGATCACTTCATGACGGACCTTCCGCTCCTATACCCTCCACATGTTATCGCCATGGTTGCCATCCTACTGGCCTTGGTGTTGAGGCCTAACAACTCCGGCCCTGGCCAGAGCACTTCAGGAGCGGCTGCCGCAGCAGGACTGGCAGCCGCTCAACAGGCGCTGATGCGAGCACAGGGCCAACAAGCACAAGGCGGAATGCCCGAGCCCGCTGCTGCAGAACCCAAGGAGAAGCGGCAACAAGATCGGGTGTCGCGGGTGCAAAAGTTTGCGAAATGGCTGGTCGACAGCAACGTGGAGATTGCATCTATGGTGGATGCTACTCAGGAGATAATATCATTTTATGAGTGCTACGAACATTACAACGACAAGCTCACTCGCGAACAGATCAACAGGTTTGTTAAGGCAAGAGGCTTAGATAAGTGATCAAGTTATGAGAAACGAGACATGAAGCATGGTATATTTGGTTTAACCATTGAGGAGCATTGACCGGGAGTTTCTGGCGTTACTGTTTATTGTTATTAGACATTCATACATTTTGGTATTGTATGAAGCTTCCAGGTTGGCTGGCTGTCTGTATAGTACTAGAACTTGAACTTTAGATTCTATCGTAGGTATGAACCTGATAGTTTGACAGCATCGAAGATCCGTGCAGGAAATCAAATAAGGGGAAATGAACTGTGAAGCATCAGGTATTCTATCATATTCTACGTAGCATCTCAGATATGCAGGTGTCCATGTATTCCAGTCATTTGTCGGACCGCATGCCCGGAACTGTCTTTGAGAGCCACCCATGATGAGATAAGAAACTTGTGAACTTCAGATAAGAATTGTTGTAGGGCACTCAGATACTAGACTGAACCAATAATCCACTGAATGAACATGTCTTTCACTTGGCTAACTAGTCCGTAGATCATGTGTATTTCCAACATGAAAAGGGTTCGTTCCTTCGAGATGAGGAGCCAGGAGTTTATGCCGAGACAGAGCGAGGATGTTCGCAGCTAAAGACTGTAAAAGAATAGCTCAGCGGGTCCTTCCGGGGCACTAAGCATAATACAGTGCTTCTGATTGATGGCTAGGCTTCGAAGCAGTGCCCAACAGCGGGCAGGACAGCTGTTGATAGCCACCCCGGGCCATGACGGCCGGGGCTAAGCTCCACTGTAGCATTTTGAATTTGGTACACCTACTTACCTAGGCACTGGATTTTTGAGCAAGCCCAGGCCAGAGCAGCAAAAGGTTAACCCGGTTTGGGGGGTTTCATTCAGCTACCAACGTCACAGCTCGTCAATTGGTATTGGCACTTCAACACCATCTTTTCCTTTCCGACCCGAATCCTTCCTGCGACAGTTTAGCCATGAACTTCCGGTAACCCGACAATACCTCCCTCGAAGTTGTCGTACCTCGATTTTATCTCCACAGCGACGCTCTCCTGCAGCGCAGGGCTTTTTGCGCCTGTTGCGCCCGACGTACCTGAAATCTTGCCGGAACGAGATATGCCACCATTGCAGTTACAACTGTCGTCATGAGCGTGACAAACATTGTGGAGGAAATCGAAGAGGGGCTCCGGGAACCCCAGAACTCTCGCGATGCTCGTGTTGAGAAGCTCTGGGCGAGCCTCGAGCCTGATCACACTGGTGAACTGGACCTAAAGGGTCTGCGGAAGGGGCTTCGAAGGATTGACCATCGTAAGCTAGAGCCCGCGCTGGCTCAAGCTTGGTAGATATACTAATGAGCGACTACAGCAATGAAGAATGCCGACGACATGCTGAAACGTATAATGGAAGAGGTGGATCAGAACGGCGATGGCAAGATACAATACAACGGTACGCAAATCTACCTTTGACTTTGGAGCTCCAACTCTTCCAGATATTGCCTCGGTACCTACGGCCACGATGTTGAAAGCTTACTTTTGGCTGTTCGCACCCTTTAGAGTTCCGAAAATTTGTCGAAAATGCAGAGCGCCAGCTCTTTGCCCTATTTCGATCAATTGATAAGGATGGGAATGGAAAATTGGACAAACTTGAGCTTCAAACAGCTTTCAAGAATGCCGGACTCACACTATCGAATCGCCGCCTTACCGAGTTCTTCGATGATATGGACCTCAACAATGACGGTTATGTCACATTTGACGAATGGCGGTCAGTACTTTATTTTCAATTCTATCTGGGTGCTCTTTTTGTTGCATTTTTTTATTGAGAACTCCACTGGCTGTCAGTCGCATCCCATCAGATGCTCAGAGCTCATGACTGACCCTCAGTCATTTTGGCGGGGATAACCCTCATAACGTCATGTGCCAAGCCCAACCGCTACCATCGGCGATACATCTGCGACCGGGTTCTCGAAGTCGAGATGTTGCTTGAGACGTCTCCTCGTCGATCATGGACTTTGCAGCTGATCATGAACTCTCAGAAACTTCCTACTATTTATGCCACCCCACGACCACGACTCCCAACTTCATGCCGTACTTGACTTTTACTACTCGGTGGTCAGCGTGACTCCAGAAGGAGACACACTTGTGAGCGAGGAAACATTAGAGGGTCTAGGTACGGACGGCTTCCGCTCTCTTTTCATCACCCTTTTCGGCTCTCTTCTACGAGTCGCTTTCCCCTACGATTTCCCAAGACCTGTACCTCCACCCGGCCGGACATCGACTTCCGTCAGTCAACCCAGCACCTCAAATCCGGATGAGTCCCCGAACGAGACCGAGAACATGGCTACCGCGGCCGCAGTCTCATATCCCGACTACGATGATGCAGCTACCGAGATATCGCAGGAAATCGCCGAAACGCTTACACAACACGTCGACGATGGCACCCATGGACCTGGACATGAACACACCACTGGAGCTTCAACAGCAGTGCACAAGAAGTTTAGACTAACACAATTTGTACCCGATCCAGGCTACTTTCTAGCAGGTGCCATCGCCGGTGGAGTGTCGCGTACGGCTACTGCGCCTCTCGATCGGCTGAAGGTCTATCTGCTTGTGAATACGTCCAGTCGTACCGAGACCGCGGGTGCAGCATTTCGACAAGGCCGTCCTCTCGCTGCTCTCAAAAACGCAGCAAAACCGTTCGGCGATGCCTTTCGAGATCTTGTTCGGTCAGGGGGTGTTCGAAGTCTTTTTGCTGGTAAGTCTGCATCTTACGGAACCAGGGTTCACATTGACCCTGGATGTGACGGAACATGCTAACAAGACTAGGAAACGGCCTCAATGTCATCAAAATCATGCCTGAGACGGCCATTAAATTTGGCTCATATGAAGCCGCAAAACGCGCACTTGCCAACTTCGAGGGCCATGGTGATCCCAAGCATCTCAGTTCGTGGTCAAAATTCGCCTCAGGTGGCTTTGCTGGCATGATAGCACAGTGAGTCTTACAGAAATCTTGACAGGGTTTAGAAACTGATAATTGGCAGGGCTTCGGTTTACCCCCTCGATACCCTCAAGTTCCGCCTACAGTGTGAGACTGTCAAGGACGGTCTTCAAGGCGCGGCTTTGGTTCGCCAGACCGCTGTGAAAATGTATGCAGATGGTGGTGTGCGTGCCTGCTATCGAGGATTGACCATGGGACTGGTGGGAATGTTCCCCTACAGTGCTATTGACATGGGCACTTTTGAACTACTAAAAAAGTCTTACAAGTCGTACTATGCCCGGAAGAACAACGTCCATGAGGACGATGTAAAACCCGGAAATATTGCCACAGGGATCATCGGCGCCACGTCTGGAGCCTTTGGAGCCAGCGTTGTCTATCCCCTGAACGTGGTGCGAACACGACTTCAAACCCAGGGCACAGCCATGCATCCCGCAACATACACTGGTATTTGGGACGTGACGAAAAAAACGATTCAACGAGAAGGATATCGGGGCTTATATAAGGGCCTCACACCAAACCTTCTAAAGGTTGCTCCCGCCTTGAGTATCACTTGGGTGGTGTACGAGAATTCAAAGAGAATTCTTGGATTGAGCTAGAAGTCCCAACTAGCTATGAGATAAAAGGGCCAAACACAAGAAACTAAGAGGATCCTCCCCTGTTTCACAATCAACATTTACTATACACACGCCCGCACTGCGCAAATTTCACATCAACATTCTGGAAAGCGAGGATCTAGCGATTGGATGGCATTGCGTTACGAAGGGGGAATATTCTGGCGTTGAAGGGATTGATATATCAGAAGAAAGTAGCCAGCAGCCATTGTCAGAAGACGAGGTGATGATACGGCTGGCACTGCATATTTCTCATTTTTGGAGGTGCCGGGAGTCAGTGGTTAGAACTGGGTGGACATTTCTTTGTTCAAGATAGAAGTGGTTACAAGAAGATGAGGTCTCGTGATGAATCCATCAGTTTCCTTGACTAGGTTTGAAACGATAATGAAAGTTACTCTGACTCGCCGTCTATGAATTTGTTGAACGGCGAAAAGCGGCGGGTTAGCTGCGAGAGGTCATGGAAAACACCCAAGCATGCCCATTTCGGACATGGAGCCGGAGCCGGAGATGTGGGGCCGGTTCCAGCCGGATGGTTCAGACCGGCCGTTTGAGGATTCGCTGGACTGCAATATCAACCATAAGAAGGGGATACTTATGAAGGTATGACGGAAGCTTGTAGAGTGAAGCTCACTACCGGAGTGAATGTGTCCTGGGCTTAAGCATGAAAGGAGGTCTAGGGAGCTGCTCATCAAGGCCATCAAGGCTTTGACAGCTTACAAAAGAAGCTTATTACCACACTGCAGATCCGAGCTCGGCTTGGGTAGCTTGGCCAAGAAGTACTCGTTATCAGTCAGCCCTATCACGTATGCTTGCTGCTTATTATCGATCAGCAAACGTCATTTCGAGATTTCGACTCGTTGTTTAATCTTCCACAGTCACAGGTTGTCGTCAGCCGCATGTCAAGAACTCGCGGCTTTTGCTGCAGGGCTTACGCAATATTGCAGACTATGACTTGAGCTTACACAGGAATGGCAGTTGGCAAGGGTCGAAAGAGGACTGCGGGGTTGTGAAGGTTGGGGGAACTTTTGTAAAGTGATAGAGGATTCTTGCTCTGGTGGGAGACGGAAGATAAGACGAGAGAACGGAAGACTTTTTCAAGAGAAGGTGAATCAGAAGAGGAAGAAATAAATTCAAAGAAAGAAACACCAGAGGTAGAGATGGTATAATTCATAATATTAAAAATACCATGTAGCCAAGTAAGGAAGCATTTAGGCATTGCATACCATCATCCATAGCTCATGAGTTGGAAAATACGATAAACGGATAGCTTGGTCGGACTTTTTGCAGTATTACGCCGCTTCATATGCACGTTCAACGCTCGCCCCCACAAGAGCAATAGCGTGATCGGCCAACGTCGTTGCATACATACACGATCAGAACCATCGCAACCAAGCAACGTAACCGAGCAGGAATATCCAGTCTAGAACCATGACCACGGCCGTAG